CCCAGGGAATGAACCTATTATTGATGTTATATGTGATTTCTCATTGCTTTGTATGAGACTAGAACTTAAAACCCACGGGTGCATAAATCAAGTATGCAAATATGTTAGAATATCTTTTCTGCCACAAAATGTAGCCAAATTGATAAGGAATGAAGTTCTATTGTTTACTAGTTAAGGCCTTATTGAATTGGCTGAAAAAAGGACTAAATAACGTTGTTTTCCAAATTTTAATTGCTCTATGAGCATACACAAATAATCAACTTACCCTTTAAACCATCTTCTTTTTTCAAATTCTCTAACATTATTGATTTTATCATCACTCTTGGAGCTCCAAAACTGTAAACTTGAGGTTTCTCTGTTCATTTTCCCTCTCTGGCCTCTCTCCTTCCTGTAATGTAAGGGTTGTTGACTCGCTCTTCATACTCCTTTTCAGTACTGATATTCTTTCATTCCCAGTGTCACTGCTATACTTTGGGCCTTCAAATAGGTGGAATCGAAATCACTGACCACTGTCTCTGACTCCTTCTTTTTGCTAACCTCACTGTTGATGTCTATGTTATTAAATTTCAGAAGAAATTCCACAGAAATCTTATTAAGACTCAGAAGAAATTGTCTAGCTTCCAGTTGCCTGCAAAACAAAATACAAATTCTTTAGCTTGCAGTTCTTCTCCACACAACCATCTTCATTTCTTCAATTTCCCCAAGCTACTCCCATGCCAGTAAAACCTGTCACCAGCAGAAGTGGGTGAGAGTGTACACACACACACACACACACACACACACACACACACACAATATATTCTCCTACTCTTTGCCTTGCTTCATCTAAACATCTCTTCCTTCAATTCTTTATTCTTCTTTAGTATTGGGCCCATCCTTGAAGGCTTATATTTCATCCATATATTTCTCAATGAAATATTTTCTTATTATTTTAATGAATGGATATGTTTCCCTTAATGAATGGATCTTTGCCTAATTCACAGAAGACACAAAAGTGTGTGTGTATGTGTGTATATACACACATATATACATGCACACACTTCAGAAGTGTGTGTATATATGTGTATCTATATATACACACACTTTTATATGGATATATATTTCAAATATAATTTTTTAATTTTTTATTGTATTTAATTATTATTATTTGTAGAGACCAGGTCTCACTATATTGCCCAGGCTGGTCTTGAACTCCTGGACTCAAGCAATCCTCCCACTAGCCACCCAAAGTGCTAGGATTATAGGCATGAACCACTATGCCAGGCCATTTTTTTTTTTTCTGAGACAGGGTCTGGCTATCACCCAGGCTGGGGTGCAGTGACTCCATTACTGCTCACTGCATCCTCTGCCTCTCAGGCTCAAGCAATCCTCCCACCTCAGCCTCCCAAATAGCTGGGACTACAGGTGTACACCACCACATCTGGCTGATTTTTATATTTTTTGTAGAGATGGGGTTTCACTAAGTTGCCAAGTCTGGTTTAGAACTTCTGAGCTCAAGCAATCCACCCACCCTGGGGCTCCCAAAGTGCTGAAATTATAGGCGTGAGCTACTGTGCCTGGCCCTTATTTATTTTTTTGAAATACAATTCTTTTTTTTTTTTTTTTTTTGAGATGGAGTCTTCCTCTGTCACCCAGGCTGGAGTGCAGTGTCTAATCTCGGCTCACTGCAACCTCCACCTTCAGGGTTCAAGCAATTCTCCTGCCCGCAGCCTCCCAAGCAGCTGGGAAATACAATTCTTTATTAGAACTCAAGTTTGTGTTATCCAACATTTAACAGAAGAGGAAAACAAAAACAATCCACACCCCCTGCCCTCTTCCACTTCTGGGGCTGAAGTAAGGGGTTTCCGCTTTACATACACACACACAAACGCATACACAAGGGGATATACATATATATCTGTATATATCTCAATAGCTACCTATTTACCTATGTGTGTGAGTGTGTGTGTGTGTGTGTGTATTGATAGACAGATACAGACAGACAAACAGACAGACAGAGATAGATGGTTGAGAGAGAGTGTGCACGTGAAAGAGATTGGCAGACATTTCAAATATAATATTTTCTTCCTAGAGATTTCTGGTGGCTGCAGCTATAGTTTTATGACATGGTATAATTAAGCACAGAAATAGTCAATGTGTTATTTTAATTTATCTAAATTCGTATTTTATGATGCCCAACAAAAAACAGAGAACATGATTTCCGGTCCTTCTCTGTCTGAACTAGAGGAACTACTGAGCTGTGCAGTGTGTGAGGTGCATAAATCTTGCATATGTCAGACAGTTGAAAACCACGGCCTAGGTGTGCAGTGTCACTTTCTGTTGCAGTGGATCAGCGTCCCCTTTGCACTGTCACATCCTGCAGTCGCAGACATTGGGTTTACTGCTGTGCATGCCAAATACCAGAAGCCGTGGCTGGGAACTGTTGACTCATCTGAAGTATACACTTGGCTTGATAGTTTTCTGTTGTTGGTAAGTAATGCTCTTACCTGAAGAATGTGATCTAATCGTTCCTAAATTAAATTTATTTTCAAGATTTTCGTATTCATAGTGAAAAATGTGCTTGTGTGCTCATGGATATTTCCAAATTGAAGACTCTCTATTGGGAGGGTGGAGCCAGGGCCTGACTGTGGTGGCTGACAGTGTCAGGGTGGAGAACAAACGAGGCCCTAACACAACAGGATGAGGTGTTCTGTGTGGTGTGTCCTCATTTCTGTTGTGATGTAAGTCCAGGAATAACATGCCCTACCCAGGACTTTCCCCAGCTGGAAGGCAAAACCATGTGAAAGCTTTGTATTAAGGCATGAAACCCAACTTAAGAAGTAAGTCTCTCATTCACTCTTGAATTACAGAGTAAGTGAATTAGTAGTGCTAGAGGCCCTAAGTCAGGTGGGTTGGAAAGGGAGGCGTCACCCAGGAAAGACGCCAAGAGGGAAGCCCTCAGGAGCCAGAAGAAGCTGGAAAACAGGCAGAACCCTTGGGCAAAGGTACAGGCACTTTGAGAAGGACTCTGAAAAGATAATGGCTGACCCCCTTGAGGCAAGAGGGAACAACTAGAACTGACCAGATTTTATGACTGTGCTAATTAGAGGAATTAGGTCTGAAAAAACACAATGTATTTGATTTCAACATAATAAATAGATTATGGCAGAGTGTGATGGCTCACCCCGGTAATCTCATCCCTTTGGGAGTCTGAGGTGGGAGGCTCACTTGATGCCAGGAGTTTGAGACAAGCCTGGACAACACAGCAGGACCCCATCTCTACAAAAATTCATCTCTTAGAAAAAGAAATACATTACTTTTCATAATAAACTTAAAAGGAAATTGGTTATTTTTGTTTTCTCTGTAGAGGATTGGCAATATTGTATAACTTTGTGATCACGGCATATGGCTGAATTTTGGCATTACCTCAACACTCAAAGTAACTATGTCTTTTCCGCTCAACATTTTTCTAGTAAAGGGCAGGAAAATGTGGGGAAAATATATGCTTCCAGCCATGGATTGGAGGGCTTCTTTGCCTAAGGATTGTTAAGAAATCCCTTGGCTCTCATTTTTCTGGAATGGCTTAAAATTATGAACTGACGAAGTAAGAGTACATATGTATATGTAACTATACCTGCACAGTAGAGGTGCTCATGGTTACATCATAGAGATGATGAGACTTAGAGCAATTAAGCAGTTTGTCAATCATCACACCATTGTCTGAGTTAGGGATTAAAATAGAACATTAAGACCTCACAGTCCTTTCCCCTATACCACACTTTGGTCTTCAGACTACTCATCTTTAAAATAAGACATTATATAACATGATTGCTAAATTTCTTCCAGCTCTAAAAAATTATTTGACTTAGTTATATTCATGATTCAATTGTAAGACAAGTTAAAATGAAATAATGGATGTTGAATAAATGAATGTACTATAGAAATCAGACTTGAGATGGTACATCAATGGTCTTGATCTTCCAGTTTTCTCTTCTACGTCCCCTACCTGAAGATGACTTGTCAAGTCCTGCTAATGATACTGTCAGTGTAACTCCACTTGGTCACACTTGCAACCTGCCCACAGTCCCCATATTAGCTCTCTATTAGGTAGACTGCATTCCTTACCTGGTCTGCTATGATAACCCCTGCTAGTCTCCCTGATGGCAGCCTGCCCACCTCTTACTCCCCCATCCTCACTTTCCATATTGCCACCTGCCTTAGTCAGTTTGGGCTGTTGTCACAATTTACCATAGACTGGGTAACGTATAAACAGCAGAATATAATTTTTATAACTCTGGAGCCTGGAAATCTGAGACCAGGAAGCCAGCATGGTGAGGTTCTAAAGATGGCAGTATTCCAGGTTGCAAATTGTCCACTTCTTTTTGAGCCCTCAGATGGTGGAAAGAGGGTGAGAGAGCTCTCTGGCCTCTTTTTAAAAGGGTACTAATCCCATAATAAGGGTTCTATCTTCCTGACCTGATTATCTCCCAAAGGGCCTACCTCTGAATACCATCACATTGGGATTAGAGTTTCAACATGTGAATTTTAGCAGGACAAACATTAAGTTCATTGCATCATGAGAGCCTCTGTTTGTAGACAAAGTCAGGCCTCACCTTACATAAAAATTTCTGATGACCTAAATGTCCAGGGTGATGAGTATGTGATTTATGATGTATCAATCAATATAAGTTACTGACATGAAAGAGGTTAATGATACATTCATAAAACAGGTCATAAAAAGAAAGGAAAATGTTGTGGAAGAATATAGACTTGAGAAATGGGGTTATGAATTTTAGAAATTTTTCCTTACTTTTGAACATACATGGCGTTTTTAAGAAGGAGATTGTTCTGATATCTACGTAGCAGACACTCTGCTTGGCCCAGGTGAGATCGTGATAAGACAGACGTCTCCAGGACCCAGAACCCAGTGGGAGAGATAGGCAATTAATGAAACCTCAATACACTGTGCTATGACAGGCTCATTCATCAATTCATTCATTCATGTAACCAATATTTATTGAATATTGACATTATGCCAGGAAGAGAAGTAACAGTAATCTAGCTAAAAGTACGTTTCCAGCTTCTCCTCCAACCACTCCCTCACACACTGACCTCTCATCATACCAAATACCCAGTGGTCTCAGCTGCCTGGTTGCTGTTGTTGTTTTCCTTTTTTCTGTTAGTTTCTCTCTCAGGCACTCTCTTCTCTCTCCATCTCCACCTGGAAAATGCTCTCAAAGTTGATGGACAATCTGCACGTCATTTCTGCAGGTTTTCCTGTTAACATGCAGCTACCCTTTCTTTCTTCTTACCACCTCTTTCTCATCTCAAATAATTAATGGTTTCTCATTTTAATTCCCATACAGACCTCTTTATATCATGCAGCAAATTGCATTATAGTTTAAATATTTTTATTATATATGCTCAATAAGAAATTAAAGCACATTCCAATATAGGTGTGTGTATCTATCAGTTGCTTATCTATTCTGTAGTAATGTATGACATAAATCATTTAATAAAAGCAACCATACAATATTTAGGTACAAAGTAAATGAGCATACACAGAAGTTCTAGTATTTTATTTGATGCCGGCTGTATTGCCTTGAGCACTCTGCAATGCTCACTTTGGAAAACACCACATACATTGACTCTCCCAGTAGAAGGCAAGTTCCAGGAAAAGAACCATGTCTTATTCATGTTTGTGCTCTTACAGTCATTATATTGCCTGGCACATAATTAGAGTGTATAAATATTTTGGGGTTGCATTGATTCAGATTAAATGTCATACTTTCAAAATCTTAATTATTTTTGAGAACATTTTATGATGGTTAGAACCACCAGATGAGAGCAAATTGAAGGCTTCTAGGGTAGTTTAAATGCAGTTCAAAATAGGTAAATTAATGAAAAGAAATAATTGCTCCATGTAATTATAGAGAAAAAGAACTTCAGGAATAATTGGAAGTCGATGATAACATTGTCTTAGTTTAATTGGGTAACAAAGCATCATAAACTGAGTGGCTTATAAACAACACAAATTTATTTTTCACATTTTTGATGGCTGGGAAGTCCAAGATCAAGATGCTGGCAAATTCAATGCCTGGTGAGGATTCACATCCTCATAGAAGGCACCTTCCTGCTGCCTCCTCACATGGTGGAAGGAAAAAGAAAACTTCTTTAGTTCTTTTTTATAAGGAATCCACCCTTATGGGCTAATAATCTCCCAAAGTTGTCAACTTGATACCTAATAGCATAACCTTGGGGATCAAAATTTCAATGTGTGAATTTGGGGGGAACATAAACATCAGACCATAGCAAAGGAATTGATATTTGTGGTTACATGCCACATTTTTTAAATACTACTAAGTTGTCCTTTTGACTATTGTAAATGTGATTGCAATAAACCTCTTTTTTTAAAAAAAAATGGAATACATGTTTGCCTCTAGTTCACCTTCGATCCTTGTGTTTCTCACACAGATGCTGGGTGGAATCCCATGGCAAGCATACTTCCAGAGGGTCCTCTCTTCATCCTCAGCCACCTATGCTCAAGTGCTGTCCTTCCTGGCAGCTTTCGGGTGCCTGGTGATGGCTCTCCCAGCCATACTCATTGGAGCCATTGGAGCATCAACAGGTAAATCTCCTGCAGCTTCACTGCATGTGCCAGTTAATTTACCAGTCCCCACCCAGACACCCTTCCGTCTCACTTCCCTCTTACCTCCACATAGTGAATTCCTTCTCATCACATTCATATATATTTAGTTTTCTTATAGCATTCAGCAAATTGTATTATAGTTCAGCAGTCTCCAATTTTTTTTTTTTTTTTTGTAGATATGGGGTTTTATCATCTTGGTCAGGCTGGTCTTGAACTCTTGACCTCAGGTGATCCACCCACCTCAGGCTCCCAAGTGCTAGGATTACAGGCAAAAGCCACTGCTCCCAGCCCCAATTTTTTTTGATTTCTCACTCCGCTATGAAACGTTGGTGAGCACACCCTCCTCCCAGTTTTGGTCTATTTATCCACTGTTTATATGCACCCCTGTCAGCAGTGGATCTCAACAAAGGTGCATGCTGACATCAACTGGAGAATGGTGGGGGGATCTTTTAAAAACATCAATATCTGGCCTACTTCACAGGAATTTTATTTTAATAACAGAAGATAGAGACAGACACTAGTGTTCTTTTAAAATCCCTAGGTAAGTTGAAAGCTAGAGAGTCACAGGCTTAGAGAAGTTTACCTGTCATCCTCATGACCTCCATAAAGATTACTTTGAACTTGAGATTTCTGCTTTACATTTTTAGTAGTTTTTACTTAGGAGTTTTCTTTCTTGAAGAAATCAATGAATAAATGTTTAGTTCAAGACAAACTAAGAAACTAAATCACGTACAGAGTAACTTACCCAAAATTGGTTGTAAAGAAAGAACATTACAAAATATTTATCTTCCTGTTAGCCTCTATGTAGAACATGTTCAAAAGCTAACCTTTAATTTAATTAAATATATTAATTACTCCTGATCATTATGTTCCTGTGCTGTAACTTTTAAGAACACTCAGTGAAAATATATCATGTTAACCCAAATTCAAAGGCATCTTCTAGGTAGAGGTAATAAAATAGATTAAAGTTCATCTTTTGCCCTGTTGTATTTTGTGAAGGTAATCCAGGGTTATGTTCCTATGGCAACTTTGACTTTCAATTAGTTGAGTCATTTATTGGATTGTTTAACTTTTAGGAGAGCAATCCTGATTCATAGTGCACACTCTCCATTCCAGTTGTTCATCCATGAGACAAACACTTCAAAAGATGTAAAGATGACTGACAAAGGTGGTATGTAGTGTTTGTCTTTGAAAAAAAATAAGGCAGTATTTCTCTCACAAGCAAAAAACATCTGTGTGTGTGTGTGTGTGTGTGTGTGTGTGTGTGTGTGTGTGTGTTTATTTTAGGAACACAGGCTAACAGAAACAGCATTAAGCCTATTTTTTATTGGATTAGATACACATTCTTGTTTGTTATTTCTGTTATCATAGCATCTCGGTTAAGGCCATAAAGTTGCCTGCATGTAAGCATAGCTTTGGTGCCAATTGTAATAAAACATAAGGGAAGAAAAAGTGGTAGGATCCAAAGAAAACATTTCCTAATTGGTCCTATGATCATGATATTAAAGAAGTTCAGCAAGTAAAAAGCCAACAACGCTAATGTACATTTAAGGATTCCATTGCTGTTCAACACGTGCTACAACTAACCAGTAAAGAAGCTATGTATTCAAAGGTAAACCTATGTTTCAAGTCTTCTTACCCTACCCACATCCAAAACTTCCTCAAAATTTCAGCCGCATGACTGTACTTTTTATTCAATAAAAAGGGACTGTTCTTAACCTAGTGAAATTCTATGCAATATGGAAATAGTTGGGAGGAAATTAATGCTGAGGCAGCTTCAAAACCAAGTTTATATACAGAAAGATGATGGCTGAGAATAGCCCCACTGTTGTCTTTCTTCATTTACACATGGATAACTGAGCCTTAAAGAAGAAACAGTGAGTGTCCCACCACATTTCCAAGTGGTTGAAGGAATATTCTAGAATTCTGTTTATGAGCATTTGTTTTCTATGATTCTATACAATGCAACATCATCATTGCAGAAAAGAAATACATATCTTAACTCTAGTGTCTGTGCAGCCATTATGAATAAGACTAATTATAAAACCAAGAGCCTTTAGAAACAAGGAGATATAAGACATTTCCACTTGACTAGCACGTGGACTTCACACCTAAGCAAACTAATGTTCATGATTCTGAGTTTATTTCAAAACAACCTAGTAAATAAAATGACCCTAGATAGATAAAGAACATTTGGCTCCTTGGTTGTTGTAATGGTTGTTGATTCTGTTCAACAGACTGGAACCAGACTGCATATGGGCCTCCAGATCCCAAGACTAACGAAGAGGCAGACATGATTTTACCAATTGTTCTGCAGTATCTCTGCCCTGTGTATATTTCTTTCTTTGGTCTTGGGGCAGTGTCTGCTGCTGTTATGTCATCAGCAGATTCTTCCATCTTGTCAGCAAGTTCAATGTTTGCACGGAACATCTACCAGCTTTCCTTCAGGCAAAATGTAAGAATTTTCTTTCAACCTGTAATTGACTAGCATTGCTCTTGCTGCTCCTGGTGTTATATTTGTTGTATATACAGTGTTATGTATTAATTTTCTACATCAAATCTGACTGTACTTTGATTAAGCATATGAGATTCAATAACGAAGTATACTTATGCTGAATGGATGCTATCAATACATGACATTACTCATGTCAAAACTGAAGGAAAAATATCGATATAATTATTTCCCAAGAGGTACAATCATAGGGCTATCATTTAACCTTCTTGTCTTTCTGATGAAAGAGTAATGAGACCTAAACAATCCAGCAAAACTATTAGTATAAGTAAATTCTTTATGACGCTGGAGAAGCTTGGTAGAAGCAGGGCATGGCAAGTTGTTTGACACATATTTGTGTATTTGACACGTATTTCTGAACTGTTTTATATTTGCCCTCCCAAGTCCACCTTTGCAGGAAAACATCCTCTCAATTAGATTTTCCTTATTGAATCAAAGTGGTTGCAAAACAGCAAGCTTCTTGTTTGATTAAAGCTTTGCCTCTCTCTAGGTTTTGGTTGACAAAACAATCCCAGTGTTTTTGCTTCTGTTTTTGTTTTGTTTTGATTTGATTGAATTTTTGTTTTGTTTTGTTTTGTTTTGTTTTGTTTTGTTTTGTTTTCAATTTAACCAAGGAACTCCTTGGACAAGGCATTTTCTTTCTTTCTTTCTTTCTTTTTTTAATTTTACTTAAAGTTCCAGGATTCATGTGCAGAATGTGCAGGTTTGTTATGTATATAACACACATATAAGTATATGTGTGCCATGGTTGTTTGCTGCACCTATTGACACACCCTCCAAGTTTTCTCTCCCTGCACCCACCAGTGCCCCCTAACAGACCGTGGGTGTGTCATTCCCTCCCTGTGTCCATGTGTTCTCATTGTTCAACTCCCACTTACGAGTAAGAACATTGGTGTTTGGCTTTCAGTTCCTGTGCTAGTTTGCTGAGGATGATGGCCTCTAGCTTCATCCATGTCCCTGCAAAGGACATAATCTCATTCCTTTTTATGGCCACATAGTATCCCATGGTATATATGTGCCACATTTTCTTTATCCAGTTTATCATTGATGGGCATTTGGGTTGGTTCCCTGAGTTTGCTATTGTAAATAGTGCTGCAATAAACATATGTGTGCCTGTGTCTTTTCAAGAGCATGAGAAGGTAGTTAGTTAGCCTTAAGGATAATAGCACTTCTACAAAGAGATAAAGTAAGGATAGCCTATGCTCTGTCAATGCCACATAAGAACTGTTCCCTAATATGAATCCTCCCTTGCTTTATTATCCTTCTCTGACACCATGTTAGCTCATCCTACCTTTCCTCCTATGCATTCAGGAAAAGGTTCAGGTAGCCTATGTGTCATGCATCTGGTTCACAGAAACCCCTTCCAAAAGTCCACCCAGGAAGCCACCTTGATTTTTTGCTTTTGGTACTGTAGCTGATGTTAGGTTTTCCCATAGATTAAGCCATTTGAACCCAGGGAATTCTTTAGACCAATTTTGAAGCACAAAATGTGTCTCATTCTTTGTCTAAATGAGCCAAGACACTGTGCAAAAAGTTGACACTGTGGCAATTTCTTACAGGCTTCAGACAAGGAAATCGTTTGGGTCATGCGAATCACAGTGTTTGTGTTTGGAGCATCTGCAACAGCCATGGCTTTGTTGACAAAGACTGTGTATGGGCTCTGGTACCTCAGTTCCGACCTTGTTTACATCATCATCTTCCCCCAGCTGCTCTGTGTACTCTTTGTTAAGGGAACCAACACCTATGGGGCCGTGGCAGGTTATGTTTCTGGCCTCTTCCTGAGAATAACTGGAGGGGAGCCATACCTGTATCTTCAGCCCTTGATCTTTTACCCTGGCTATTACCTGGATAATAATGGTATATATAATCAGAAATTTCCATTTAAAACACTTTCCATGGTTACTTCATTCCTAGCCAACATTTGCATCTCTTATCTAGCCAAATACCTATTTGAAAGTGGAACCTTCCCACCTAAATTAGATGTATTTGATGCTGTTGTTGCAAGACATAGTGAAGAAAACATGGATAAGACAATTCTTGTCAAAAATGAAAATATTAAATTAGATGAACTTGCACCTGTGAAGCCGCGGCAGAGCATGACTCTCAGCTCAACTTTCACCAATAAAGAAGCCTTCCTTGATGTCGATTCCAGTCCAGAAGGTTCTGGGACTGAAGATAATTTACAATGACCTCATCTAAATAAAATACTGCTTTTGCAAACAAAGCACTATAATAGGGTAGTCCTGGAGAGATGATTTGCATAATACAAAAATAACCTAACAAATAATGTTCAGGAGGATAAAAATTCATATTAAGTGCAATTGCACAAATACAAGCCAAGCTAGCAGGAAGCACCTATGAAAGCAACAACTTTCTTTCTCATCCATAATAGAGTTGATTTTGATGCTAGACAGTTTTGCTAGGTATAAAAAATAAACAAAGCCCCACTTAGAGAAAAGACAGCCAAGCAGAGTATTTATATTTATTACAAAAAAGGAAAGTAGATATGAAAGAGCCTAAGGAAAAGGAAATTGGATAGTTTTGACACAAACTTTGCGTTAACACACTGATGAGTCCAGTTTAATTATAGCATTGAAGCTATGAGAATAACTTCAGTCACCCCCTTGAATGGTGCAATGAATTAACCAGCTGATTTTTCTTAGTGTGATGATTAATCCTTTCTTTCATGTTCTGAGCTATAACATTTGCTGAATATGCAGTTTGTTATTCTTTTAGTAATGGCATGTAATATTCTGAGCACTGGCAAAGCAAACACAAAAAATATTGTATACTGGCATTTATTTATGTGCAAGATGATAGGAAGATAGAATCCACCTTTGTAGAGGAGCACTGGGCTGATTTGTATGTTTCCATAGCTACTATATGCATAAACAAGAGTACCTGAAGGATTATTAGCCGATGTTAAAGCAATAAGTTCATTAAGCAGAAAGTAATAGGAAGAACAGTATATTTTTATCTTCATCTGAAGCATATAAAGTTTTGTCCCATGATAAAATAAGTAATATGTAAACTAGTATGTAAGTTAATATTGAAAGTGAAATTGAGCCTTATGTAAGGAGAGGTAGCTGCACAGCATCAGTTATGGTTAATAAGAGGCACACTGCTAAATTAACATACATTTTATTGAATACTTATTATGGGAAGCCCCCACAACACTTTCTGATAGTGGTGAAATGAGAAAAAACAAACTCTACTAATTTTTACATATTCATTGATAGGAAGGATTCAGTGTTAAGGGATCTACTCTTTGGCATTTTTTCATATTAGCCAGTCTTAGAGACTAGACAAAAAATTACTACAAAAAGTACATAGTCAATTTAAAATGCAGAAGAAAGCAGAAAATAAAATAAGTCTTAAAGGAAACAAGCCATTAAATATTTGATGTCTATATAAAGTTCATGAGATTGATCATTAAATAATGTTTGCTCCTTTTCTGGTGTTACACACACACACACACACACACACACACACACACACTCATACACACACATGAGTGTGTGGGTGTAATGGTTTGTGTCCATTTCAAGTGTTTTCACACCAGTCACACATTATAGAAATAATTAGAGCCATGTCTAAAACAGCAGAGTGAAGCGATGAACTGAAAACTGATCAGGCAATCTGATCCAAGAAAGTCAGTCTGAATTATTGAAACTAAAGAACTTTTTTCAAAAATATTTCTTTTTTGCAAATCATGAACAAAATAAACTAAGTGTTCAGCATTAAGAATAAAAGTTGTATCTTGACCCTAGAATTTCTTTTATAAGATTTAATTGTAATTGTTTCAAAGCATCAAGTAGTACATCTTTATCATTAAACATGAATTTAATGTCTAAGATCATTTTTAAAATATTTTAAAATCATTTTAAAATTAAATAATTTTACATGTTGTCTCATATTTTCAGTGCTTTTTCAAAATTTAATGGCAAATATTACACTGCATTCAAAATATTCACTGAATACCATATATATCTAAATGAAAAGAGAATTACTTTTACTCATCTATTTTCTCAAAATATATTCAGTACACTATGGAGTACATGGAAGGAGCGTATTTTTGGAACCAGTAAGTATGGGAGTGCATGATTCTCAGATATTAATTGAGAAAAGAGAAATGGGCAGGAAATTCATTAAAGAAAAACTGCAGAGATTAAAACATTTAACACCTAAAAGTAATTAATAGCTGGAGGGAGACCACGATTCCCAGCAAACATATTCCAGATGCACCATGCTCCTCAGCATGCTACCTGAACACGGACTTTTATCCATCCTGTCACCCTGAGCATCTGTCTTAACCTGCTAAGGCACAGGCTTCCACCATGTGCATCAGGAAACACCTCACTCATAATGTCATAGAATGCAACAGGGAAGCATAGTCTCTCTACAGGTATCTTTACATTGTACCATTCTGTTGGGCAACAATTGTCCCATCAGCCACATTTAAGTCCAGTGGGGGAAAAAAAGATTAACAGTAAAAATGTTTTCCATTTAATTCAATTTCTAACAATAGACAGATACGGGGGCAAATGTTTGCCCTGTTCAAAATATTGAAACTAGATAATTTCAATAATATCAGCCTATGAATAATATTATATTGTTTTGAACCCATTATTCCTCATCTACTTTCGAAGTAGATATATAAAAACTAGTTTTTTATTAATCCCCTAATGTGCTAAATATTAGCAAGATGATTTTTAAGTACAAAAAAATTTAAAGAACACAAGAAAGGAAACAACAATCACAAGATCTTCACTTATCATATTTGTGCATAAATTTCCCCCCAATTTCCAAGACAGTTATATCACAAGGCTGTGAAATAATGTGGAAGAGTAAACTTTGTACCCATCATTTGCTCTGTTTTGACATAATGAGTAATGCAGACATTTATGTATTCTTCCAGCTTCAGTCAATAGACTTGATTTTCAAAATCTGCCCTCAAATGAAACTAAAATAAACAAAACATTTAGACACTGGCTATATTAACCTTAGAAGGCAATATATGTGGATAAAACATAGAATAAAACATACATTTTATTTTCATACTTTTGATATGATTGTTACATATTTCTTGGGTAATTTAAATACTTCTGTTTCCCACACATATTCAAAACAGCAAGCTTGTAGCTGGACTGCAACATCAACAACAAGTTGTTTCACGCAGTATCAAAGTACAAATTCATTGCTACACTTACAAGTAATGAATTTTATGTGAATATGAAATGAATATATGCTTGAAATAAGTGAATCTAATATAATGGCTATTCCTCTTTTCCTCTTTTTATTTGGAAATAATTAGCATTATATTTTAACATAAATTATGATTTTTTTCTGTTTTAGCCTTCATGTAAATTTACACTGGTATGATGTACAACTCATTGTAAGTTTGCCACTTGATAGATGCATATAATAATTCCAGAACATATATTTTTGTCTGTCAAAATATTATATAAATTTATGCTTAAAATAAGTAGATTTACAACTGTGTAAATGTTTTAAATGTAATGATATTAAATTGTACTGGTCAATTTAGGATATTGTTGTCTAAATTTGGCTTTTTGGGGTCCTCTCTTAAACTAAATATATATGGTGCTTCAAGACAATTATGCAATGAAATCAAAATAAGCTGTCTCATTACTGGAGGATATGCAAATGCTAAGTGGAAATGCTGTACTACATGTAAGTCTCGGGGCAATATATATCATATCTCAAAAACAAATTTAAATTGTTTTCTTGGAAAAGACATTCTACCATTGTACACAGCTCTTTTGTAAATCAAAGAAATCAATAGAATGATATCCATTAAGAGTCTCATGCACTACTGACTGAGCCAGCCAGGCGACTCCAATTATACTCACTCCAATCCCATAAAGAATATCTCCATTTTTCAAACCAAACAGCTGCCTAACAGTTGTTACATGAAGTCAATCACTAAGAGACAAACTGGCTGCCACTGTGCTCCAACTATGTACTCCGTGTCTCTCATCTTATTCTCTCAAGGTGTCTTTAAATATGTAGTTGTATATACTCTCAGAAGAACTTTGGCCTTTCATGCCTTAATTATAATAACCAATAATGCCTTTGGAAGTATACAGGACAGAAGGGCCTAGAATGAGTGCAGGGATGACTCAAGGAAAGAATAAGTAGGTATGTCGTCGAGTTGTCTGCCGTGGGGACACACTTCTGAAGATTATACATTTTTGTTTTATCACAAATCTATAGTGTGGGGGAATTATTAAGAACCAGAAAAGAGACTGTATCAGAATACAATATTGGGCCTCTAGACGTTATCTTCATTTTACCCATTGTATCTGGAGAGCTTAAATTTGATCATTAGCTTTCTTCTCAGACAGACATTCTTGAGAGAGATCCAGGGAGCTATGGGATAATGATAATTATTATTTCTACAATTTTTATACCATCACCTAATGAAACATTCCAAAACAGTAAAAACAGCCATTGTATCTTATTTAAATTCTCTAAAGTCAGAGAATTTGTGGTGATCCCACTTTTATTTTTGGTTGGAAAACTATAGTTATTTATTTAAAAGAGGTACTGCATTATGTATTTTGGAGCCAAACTGCTGTGTTGATTTATCAGTTTGTCATATAAAGACAGTTAAAAAGCATACAACAAGTAAGGCTAAAAACCTAATGATAGAATTTGGAGCAGTAGGTATTATTGAAAAAAGTAATTGAAAGCCTCTGGTAGTGCAGTGCCACATGTGAAGCTGAAGAGAACACTGTAGTTTCCATGTCTATAAAATGTACAATAGCTGAATGAGCAGTTGCTTAAAACCATGACTAACACTATGAAATTCTAGAAAATAAAAATGAAAACCCCAGGTCATTGCAGAAGTTTCCCCTTCTTAAATTGAACTCTTCCCTCCCTTTTCCTCAGCATTGAAGGCATTTGGCAAGTGTTAGCACCTAAAAACAAAGAACAGGCATCTTGTTTTCTCCTCCCCACTTTAAAGCCCAAAATTCTGAGGTCCTGAGTGGCTGACTGAAGGGTCTCAGAATCATCTGGAGACCTTGTGACTCACAAAGCCCTGAAGGATGCAGAAGGATGGTGCCAGGAATCACATTCTCTTTCCTTGGGGCCTGAAAATGGATGGAGCTGGGAGAATTATTGAAACACTTTGAATCTATTTTATTTTAGTAAGGCTTCTTATTGAAACAATCTTTAACATCTTTTGTATCTCTAAATTTTCAACTATGACCTTATTAGGAAACCTACTTGGGGATTGTAGCATAGCTTGGTAGGCAGTAGCTGAGAGAGAGTGGGACCACAGAACAAGACACACACGGCTTCACACAGCAGCTCAGCATCAGATTGAGGGACACAAGAGTTGTATGGTCTTAGCCAAGTCCCTTAACCTCTGTGAGCCTCAGTTTCCCAGATGTAGATGGTATTTACTTGTTATTAGTAAATTATATGATGCACACAAGCTTACCTGAAACCATAACTATAACTTTCCAACTAGGAAACCATGACAACATTTATCTAGCTTTTGGGAAATCATTTTGACTTGGAATCTTGTATTCAACTAGTTATCGGCGTGGATTCTATGTTAAGGATGAAAAAAAAAGGGATATGTTTTAAAATATATTGACATATAGGTCATTTTTGCTTTACTTGGCTTTTCAAGGACCTCATCAACAGAAATTTTATTCTCTGCTGCATGCACCCAAATGGTGCTTCATATATGACCACCGGTTTAACTAGTAGCAGCTAAATCCATGGTAAAGTTTACCTCAGCACTTATACTGGAATTTTGGGGCAATATCACTTATTCAAGAGTGCTTTGTGCCCAGAGTAAAGAACAGAAAGGGAAAAGCCTGTAGCAGTTTTGCAAGCTGGGGACGTCAGTGAAAAATTTCTTTAGCTTAGTTGCAATGTGTATTTCTGATCATTTCATTAGAAGATATCACATGATTCAAATGATTCTTAAAGAGGTAATAACAATGACAGGATATTAAAAATTATTTTTAATGTGTAAATCATCCAAAGGTGGCCTTCAGAGCTCATAAATGTGTATGTTTAGAGTGGGTTGGGGGTGGGAAATATGTGCTAATGGGTTCCAATAAAGATTAACATGAAATATGAAAACATCAAGGTCAGGCAAGTATTGCAAACCACATTACTCTATGTAGGTTAAAATGTCCCAGGCACAGATGATGGCCATGGGCACAAAATGTAAGCCAGGACTTAAGTGCAAGGAACAATTTGGGTTGAACCCATGCAGAGCAATTGCTGTCTCAAACACATTTGTTTGTGTTTACAGAGCTTGAACATACACAATGAACGCTACATGTTCTGGTTTCTGTTAATCAACATTAAGTCCAAATTTATCCTTAAGAAAAAATCTAACCTACATAGTGTTCTATTTTATAATAACTTCCTTTTTACATTTTCATTTGTTCAGCAACATTTCCATTAAATAACAACATATGTAGTAAAGGTTTCCCACAGTTCGTTTTCCAAGAGAACTACAAAGTCCCGGAAAAATGTTTTTAAAACTAGAGATTTTTAAACATAATATAAAATAAAAAGACCTGATTATGACTTTGTGCACATTTGGTGCCGTCTCCTATTCTTTTCGCATCTATTATCACAGTTATTTAGAGGGACTAAAAAAAAAAAAAAAAAAATCCTTGCAAGTAATTTTAGTTCACTCCATCTCCTAATTAAAAAAAGACTTTTTAAACAATAAAATCTGAAGAAGAAGCAAGCTTTCAACATTCATAGGTGGCCTGTTAGAGTCTACTTTGAAGATTCTTCTTTATTACTTTCATCTTGTCTAGACCCTAGGTGTTAGGAGACGTTGCCTTCAGTCCTGGCTTTCCTCCTGTGTGCTCTTGGATGAGTTAATTGATCTTCCCTGATCTCAAATCATGTTCTATAAATGACATAAATTTCTATATAGACTCTTTAAGGCCTCTCTCTGACTTGAAATTTAACCCTATGTTGGTCTACACCTCCCCTCCATGTCAGATCAGACGTAATTCGTTACTGATACTGGAGCTATTTGAATTATTCCAAGATCTCATCTCCTATTCTCTCCCTCACTGCCACTGCCAGCTGGTTAGTGATACCATGATACCATCTCCCCTAGTGAATTATCCATTTTCTCCTGCTAGGAAATAGAAAGGGAAGGGTGGGCACAATACTTTTTTAACAAGAAAAATAACACTCATTTGCCCCCTCCAAGTCCTATTTTCTTACCATGAGAAATGTCTATTTGTGAATTCAGCCCATCTTGTGATGTTAACAACATACAATTGAGTCTCACTGTAAATATACCCTTCACTTTGTCCTGATAGTTGGCAAAAGCCTAAGGTACTGAACAGCCCCAAGTTACCCAGCAGGCACCCCCTTGGAACCACTGGCCTATCCTAGCAGCCTCTGAAATATCTGCCTCCTAGTCTATGTTGAGCCTTCGAAGACCCATAATACCCCACTCTCTCAAAACTGGGTTATTTTTTACGTGCATTTCATCCACTTACTTGCATGTTATTCAACAAATGCTTATTGAAAACCTATCATGTGCTGTTCTAGGAACTAACGATACACATATAAATAAGAAAATTAAGATCCTTTTTCTCATGGAGTTTACATTCCAGTTAGGAGAAGAAATGGAAGGAAGAGGGAGAAAGACAATAAAAACACAGCTGCAGAAAGTATTACTGATGAGGAAAACAAATGGGGTGTCATGGCTGTTGGGTGGGTACTGAAGTGTCATTTTAAATTAGGTGAGCATGGAAGGCCACTAGGAAGAACTGAGTTTGATACTGAAGCTTGGATGACAGAACAGAGACAGGTGCGCACAATTGGGGAGGGGAGGGAGAAGAATGGGGAAAACTACGACTTCCATCATTTCAAACCTGTTTTTCATGCAACCAGTTCATTGCTATTTTAGTTGGTTATCCTAGATTCTCAGTATATGTATCTTCTGACAAGCATTCTTACAATACTTCAAGTCACCATACTTCATCTTAGTACGGCAGAATTGACCTTGTGGTTATAATCAACATACCACCACCCTCCCAAGTTATTCATCTTCTTTCTTTTCTTCAGTCATAATATGGCCTTACTTTAAATGTCTGGTATCAATTCAAATGCCAGTTGGAGAAACTTGAGAAAATACATCATTAAATTATAGGATTGAAGACAGGGGAAAGAAAATGAAAGCATGATACTGGTTGGGAAACAAATGTAAAATGGAATAGGAGACAGAGAACAAGGCCAGAACTAGGGCAATGACGAGGTGCATGTAAAGATCAGAATGGTGGGAAGCTGAGGCAGGATGATTGCTTGAGAACAGGAATTCAAGACCAGCCTGGGCAACATGGCAAGACCTCATCTCTACAAAAAAATTTAAAAATTGACAAGCATGGTGTTGTGAGCCTGTAGTTCCATCTACTCAGGAGGCTGAGACAGAAGAATGGTGTGAGCCCAATGAGCTGTGATCTTGCCACTGCACTCCAGCCTGGGCAATAAAGACCCTGTCTCTAGGAAATCCCCCCAAAAAC